CGCTCTATGAGCGATCAGCATTGCACAACCAAGTTACTGCGATGGCAAGGGTACATTATGCATTTGTTCCCTTTACCTAGGGCCAGAGCATGACACATCGTACTGCCCTGCATTATCAGTTTGCCCTTGTTTGGAATATTGCAACTTTTGAAATATGAGGAGCTCAAATCGTCGAATTCATGTTGAGACTTTGTTAAGTTTTAATCTAGAAGTAATTGAACAACTAGCAGTTTGCGTGAGAGTTCACCTCGAAAACTTGGAGCTTGCGTCTCTATCGACTGAAAAGGCTTGAATAGTCAGTTATACGATTAAACTGAATAGCCTTGTGTTTCAATATTAAGATTGCTCTTGCAGAGTCAGATCTGAAAGGGAGATTTACTCTTTGTGTTCCTGCGATGGGCTAGGTGTAAAACGGTCTCCGGTGAAGAAGCTTCTTCAGAAGAAATCTGTTTTTGACAGCAGCGAGGATGAAATTGATGACGACAACGCCAACAATGGTGAATCGGATGTCTCCGAGTTTGAACCCTTCAAAAGGGGCTCGTTCGGTATGTTTTTTCCTCCTTATTTCGTTTCTGGGTAAAGAAAAATAATTCCTCCGATTTTAACTCAATGTCCACTCTGCTCCTCTTCACTTTGGCCAACATTACCGATTTGCCTCCTATTCTCGCCTTTTGTTTTTTCGTCTCTCATCATTTCTGGAATCCTTGACTATCCTGTTTCTTTTCCTCCTGTCTGACATATTGCCTCTTCCTGCAAACGTCTATCTATCAGGCTTTAGAACGACCGTATAATGTTTGTATTTGGTTTGAAGCAGGTCATGTGAGTTTTTTATCGAAAAAATCAAACGTCCTTCCTCCTTCCTTCTCACCTCTGGGTGGCGGCATATTCATTTCCTAAAGCTGTTCATTTCCACCCCAGGGGTTCCTTTTCTCTGATTTACCATGACTTTCCGTGACTCTACCGTGAAGTTGAAATCATTTCTTTCTTTCAGTCAATAAAGCAGGTACTACTCCAGGACGAGAGCAAAAGTTGTTTGCTGAATTATGTGTGTCACTCGAAGTTAGTTCTGTCCTGACATTGTTTTTTCCTAAAGAACGCTCCCCCTGTCCTGCCATACTCGTGGTTTTTGCTCGTTTAATGTTCTGCTTCTAATGTTTTTGCTTTTCCGGCTTCCTCTCGTGACACTGAGTCCTTGCTACATGTAAAAATTATGCTGACCAATTAGATCAACTTTATGTACTGGGTTTCTGTAATGGGCATCCCATTTTCCCTCGGGAAAGTGCCAATCAATGGCTTCAAACGTCATTTCGTCGTAGCTATTCTCAGGCCAAGACCATCTTGATTTCTTTCATTAGCACGGTACAACCCAGTATCGCATGATGGGCCTGTTGATTTTGTAAAGCCTTTGTCAGCATGTGCTTGCGGTTAAATCCCCACACGTGGGAATGCCGGTTTATTTACTTCAGTTGGTGCTTTCTCGAATTAGGAAGAATTCTAATCCGTTGGTTTGGGAGTACCCAGAAATACTGTGGCCTAGGCCTTCTGCTCCTCCTCCTGCAAATCTATGTGCATATGCGACAATCACTTTCTTTAGGCGGTCAAGTAGTTGCGCTACACCATGTGCACGCGTTCCCCTTTATAGATGGCCCAGCAGCGTCTCTGGCTGAGCGGATTCGTAGCCAGCCTCCGCGACGTACCGCAGCTGCCAGTACTATAAAGTATAACTTTGACGATTCGGGTGGCGATGAAGTTGGGAGCAATAGTTGCGAAGAGGAGGTCTTTACTGCCGTGGACCACGGGCAGGGTGACGAGACGATCAATCTAAACAGCCCTGTAAAACAAACTGTCTCATCAGCTATCTCCCAGTCCCAAACTGATGCTAATGAGAAGTCAAAGGGTGACGCTGCTGCGTAAGTTGGAGACATTTCAGCTTTTTTATAATACCAAGACGTGTTATAATCTTGAGTGGCTTTTTTTTCAAGTTTCACTCTTAACTGATGTAACTCAGTTTCCGAGTGAGACTGTTTGGGGTGTTAACACGAATCCACTTCATCTTGCGACATTGGCATAATCCTACCCTGATCTTTCTCGCTTCGTTATCAAAGCCAAGCGATAGCTCTAGTGGGTGACTCGAAATGTTAGCGATAACCATGGGTGAATATTTTTGTTTGTAAGTTAACCTGCTACCTGACCGACCTTTATTTGAATGGGAAGCTTGACGGGTACTGTAAGCTAACCACGATATCCCTTTCGCAGTCGATTGATTGCTATTTTGAGGAGCTCTTTGTTATTTTTTTAACCGATCAGGGCTTCCATGTCTTTATTTTGTCTTAGTTGCTAATTACTGTTTCACATTCACTTTCTATCGTTATGGTGAATCGCAACTTTGGATACTGGGAGTCATTTTTTATCATCCTGTTTACCTGTGAGCAACTAATGGATTTCGAAGTGCCTGGTTTCAGTCGTTGAATAAGTGTCTTTGCAGTCCTCCCCCATTTGTTTGTTCGCTTCCTTTCTTTGTGTTGGCTCAATTCAGGTGCAGTTCGAAGACATTGGATTTGTGAGTGAACAACTAACCATAGAGTTGACGTACGCCATGGGTTCTCCTTGTAACATAATAAGACAAATGCGAAATCCTATCATTCGTAATTTGCACTTGTGTTAGCCAGTTTTAATCAATGGTCCCAGCCTTCTATGTAGGTCAGTGCTAATGTCAGACGGGGATTTTGGCTGCTTTTCACTGTTTAAAAACAACCAGTCGAATCGATTTGACTGTGCTCAACATCCTCTGTCTCATTAAATTTGCTTGAGCTCCAACTCTTCTATCTTATTCAGCTGGCCAATCTCCTACAAAGAGTCGGCCACTGCAGTCACCAAGAGGTCGTCTGCGAGGAGTGGTCGCGCCGGCAGCAGTCGAAGAGGCCACAGTGTTCGCGGCGGTGCTGTTCAGAGAGGAGGTGCGAAAAATGCCGGATCCGCTAGTACCAAGCGGATCACGGAAGAGACGAGATCTGACGCCTCGGGTGGTGAAAGCAACAAGAATGACGAAGCCGATGATATTTTTGTTCCTGGTTAGGCACTCATGTTTATTAGTTTCTCTCCAATACTTTTTTCCACTTCAAAACTTTTGGCAGGATCTGTTGTCTCTAGGTTGTGTTGAAGGAACCAGCGGCTAGTGCGTTTTTCTCATTTCCAACACTTATCAATGCTAATTGTGCTTTTTATTCCTTTTGTCCGCAGACTCACCGGTCCCTCCGTCCAGAGCCAAGGCGACACGCAACGCCCAGAGAAAAATGCGGTATTTCTTCGACAGCGACTCCGACGAAGTGGTGGAAGTGAGCAGTGATAGCGAGAAGGATGCTGATTCTGCTGAAGACAGCAATGTCAGACGGAAGGGCAGGGTGGCCGTCCGGAGCCGCAAGCGGAAGCGACTCAATTCAGACAGTGATGAGGATTATGTGCCTGAATAGGATCCTAACGAGGCAGATCGACTTAGTTATTTGTATTTCCTTGGTCTTGTTGTAGTCATACACCCTTTTAAGAGTTCGCTTGACTTATGGCTGGTCGGGGTGCGTGTGTGTGCGTCTGCATTCTTGGCTCGCGTGGGGCTTTCGTTGCTCTCGTGGTGTTGCTGGGTATCCATTGCGTGGAGGCCAAGTTGGGATGGCTGTCATCTAGTGTAGTCAGTCCAAAGGACTTTACCGCTCTGCCACTAGGTTAAAGCCTTTCAAAAGGCGGGAGTAGGTTTAAGTAAAAGGAACATCTTATTGTGACTAGTTCACTTGCAGCGCTGTTTGTTTTAATTTATCAATGAGGATTAAATGTGGTCCAGATGACGCCTCGCACCATTTGTGTCCTTCGTTTATGTTAGTATTCGTAGAACTTGTGCTTATATTACTCACAGTGCCACAATTTATTATCATTGCAAAGTGCATTCTATTAGCGCTTGAGAAAATAACCTTATTTTGTTTTAAAATCTGCCAATTTTAATGACTGCCTTCAAAAACCATTTGTTGCTGTTAGCTGTCAAGTCTAGATGTGAATGGCTTCTGAACGCCGCCTATCTACACTTTCGCATCGTGATGAAACTTTATCAAAAGTCGTTGACAAGCTCATTTCAGAAGGGCATTGTAGACTATCGAATAAATATGTAGGATATTTTAGTTTCAATTGTTACATCTAGAATCAAAAAATATTTTTTCGCCTAAATGAAGAACTACATAAGAAGTCCCGGCTTGAAGTTGAATTTGAGGAGCGTCTTTTGAGACTCTACGATCAGAAAAACACAATAATAAAAAATCGCATTGCAAGGGATGAACAAGTTAGACGCAGCAAAGAACTTGCAATGGAAGAGGCCAGTAGCCAAGCGAAAGTAACCCTAAAATAAAATCTAAAAGCATAAAGCAACGAATGCTTTCGGAAAATTTGCGAAAAACGAACAAAAAGCACCTTCTTTATGAAACTCTGACCGATGAATATAACCGACTCTTGGAAGAAGGTAATCGTGCATTTTTCCATGACGTTTGTCAAAATGATGCCACCGGCCTCCTAAACTTAGCCGTTAAGCTGGAAGTCCTAAATAAAGTAACTTATAAGTAATGCCAGTTAAAAGTTATCTAACATGTTATCGAAGTTCAACTTGGCTAACGCGATGTTTGAAGTTCCTTTATGTTAATGAGCAACCTCTCTGTCTTTGGAACGACTACTTAGAACAACTTGACATCGAAGACATGAAAGTAAGTCCAGTTTTTCGGTCAAAGTTTGAAGACCTTGAAAGGGGATTGGGATTTTACTTCGTGTGAAATTGTTAATGAAACTTCTACAGAGGATGAAAATATGTTGCAAAATGTGAATGCAACGCCATGGAAATTACTGAAATTAAGCTCAAAATTTGATAAGATTTTAAAAGCTCTAGGCACATTGGTAAGGACGATATTACTATAATTTACTAATTCAAAGGTAATCAGATTTCCCGCTTTTGCTTTGAATCTGCTTAATTATATTAAAGGGTTCTTTTCTTTGATGTAGAATGGATCCAAAACTGAAAATGAGGTTAATTTTCAGATTCGGGGAGCAATGCTGAGGAAGTCATACTGTGGAAGTTTAGCGTGCAAGAGTTTAGAAGGTAGTCATCGCTAAATCTAAGATTGCGCTATTTTAGAAGCTTTTAAGATAATAAGGCTAAGGGAGTCGGATGATAGCTGGTCGTCAGAAGAGAACTCGAAGTCTGTTTCCGCTATCATTAAAGCAGAACTTGCGTAGGGTTTTGCCTTGGTTATTTGTAATCTTTACTAGTAACTATGATCCTTCCGTAAATTGGATCCTGGATATTTGTCCCATTAATTTGGACATTTTAAAGGCGGTCCATGCAGACAATCACCTCAACATGATCATCTGTATTACTGTTCCCGACGAGGAAATAATTTCACAAGCAGTTGAAGGGCATTGGGATACTGACGAAATCGCCCTTAAACTTGCTCATTCAGATTATGCGATGTCAAGAGCGCGCAGCTTTTTTCGTAGTATGGGCTGCCCAATTTATGAAGTAGTTTCTGCTCTTGACGAGTCAATTGATTCCCAAATTTCCCAGTTGATCGATTGTCACCTTGACAGGGCGAGTGATTGATGCCTGATTCGCCGCTTTCTTCCACAATACATTTCACTTATCGTCACTTTTTGTTTAGTTAAGGGAATTAGAGCAGGAGATGGAGGCAGAGGATTGCCGGGCAGGTAAACAGTTTTGAGATCAAAAAATTGGCTTGTTTATTTGCCTTTGATAGGTCATGAACTTGACAATGACGAAAATTGGTTTATCAGCCATTGTGCTGCAGGAATCAGTCAGGTATGTGAAATTGATCTACAAAAACTGAATACTTTTCCAAATTCCTTCGTTCAGGATATTCTTAAAAAATTACAAGGGCTTATGGAAGTTGAAAGTACCGCTTTTGTTGACCAACTGAGGAAAGCACTGACTAAACTACGCCACCAACGTCTACATATTGTGGAGCACCTTTTTGAGTGCCGGAAAGTGCTATTAACATCACTGAGACGACAAAGTGACAGGCAGGCTCTTGTGGACAAGTGGCAAAAGGTTTCACTTGATTAAAGCCGGAAAACACTTATTTTAGGACTTTAATGCCATGCCTATGGAGTTGTTGCAGGATGATGAGACTAAAGCAGAACGCCATTTCCGCCTCCATGAGCTTGTTGCTCAACTTCGCGACTTAACTGAGGAACGGAGAGCTCAGCACTTGGCACTCTTGAGCGACTTTTTTGACCGCAATGAGTGGTACACAAACGAAAGGATAAACATAATAAACATTTTCTGTCTCTTGCTTCAATTGGAGTTGGACAAGTGGCAAGATCGAAACCAGGTGGTTGGGATGCTCATTGGATTTGCTGGCAGCACCGAAGAAGGCAAACTGGGGAACCAAAACTGCTACCGACTTCCTATGTTAAAAGTATGAATTCGTAGCATCTCTTAGCAGAAGTTGCCTGAATTTTTTCATTTGCAAGCTTATGCCATAGCTCTTTGGTACTTGAGATGCATTTGTTTTGGTAGGAAAGATCGACGGTTTTTATCTGAATAAGCGGCCAAAGCTGCTGCTGCTGCTGCTGCTTTGGCGGGAAACAATAAAGTCAGATAGGTTATCAAATGAAGCTGTTTGCTTTTTCGCAGTAATTGAAAATAAATTGCAGAACTCAGTCGCCTCTATTTAATAGCCTCCGGGATTAGCCATTGCAGAGCAGTCAGGGGAGTCGAAGTCAAAACGCCATCAACCTCTTGAAGGAAAGGTTCACACAATCGCATACACGGCTGAGGACCCTGTGGGTAGCAACGATGGGACGGATCGTCCACAAATGCTTTTTGTTACCAATGAGGTACTGACCGGCGGTGAGATTATTCCTCTCGCTTGTAAGTTTCATGGTGCTTTAAATGCATCACGAAAAAGTTAGTTGCTTACTAAAAGGCGGGTCTTTGTAAACAAAGCTGTCACCAATAAAGCAAAAGAAGAGGAGAGGATCAAGCGGAGTCCTGGAAAGAAAGTACCTGACAAAAAGGCAAAAAGAAGTGGAGGTAGAAAAACTCCTGCCTCCCAACAACCAAATCGGTATTTGTTGGGAAGTCAAACCAAATCGCAGGAGCCTGAGCTCGCCTTCCTCTATGAAGTTGCTACCTGTGCGCTCAGAATAGTCCAGTTGAGTGTACGTCCACAGACTTTTTTCAGAGCCAGCATTAAGTAGAATTGGATTGAAGATCCTTCACAATTTTCAGTTATTTTTAGTCAAACTTGTTTTTCATCCACAGAATCCATGTATCCCTCATTTCTAAGGTTTTTTTTAGTCAAGCAATGTGCTCACTGCATGTAGAGTGACTTTTTGCCTTGACTATGCAGTTACTCCAGCCCTCTAGTCGCAAAGATCTTGTGCATTTGAATTTCACTGCACTCTACTTCTCTCCAATCCAATCATAGTGTGTGCGAGATGGTCGAAGGCATTATTTGCATATCGTAATGGACCCAATGTGAATGAAGTGCCGTCTCACTAAAATGCAAACAACATTTCACGCAGAATCCAAAACAACTTTGCTACCTCAGCAGATCTTGCATCGAAGGTGTGGGCAAGAGTTCCTCCGTTGAACCGGTGCAGGCGTAACCATCAATTGGGTCCTGGTGGTGGTCAAAGCTCACCTTCGGTTTGGTTAGGTTGTAGTGAACAATTACGTGGCCTAGTAGACGTCTTCCGTTTGTCGCCTATATGCATAAACGAAAACACTAAATGGCTCTGAAGCTGCAAATCTTCTCTCTAAAATGTTGAGCACGCATTTGTGTCTGGTGCGTCTCGCTGCGGCTCAACTGTCACCGATGGCAAAAGATCGCATGTCTTTGCATTAAATCGCCTTCAGTTGCCTAAAGAACTACTTACAGCCTCTTCTTGACCGTGCAGCTAACAGAGGAGCAGGTAAAATTGGGCGTGCATGTGGACGACAACGGAGATCCGCTTCCTCGTGTGGAAGAACCCCCAAAGTCTCAAAAAATCGCAAGTTCTCGTTCCGTACAAGCAATCAAAGGGACCAAGAAGGCGAGTAAGGACGCATTAATTTCTACGATCACTTGACACTGTTTATGAGTACTTTGAATGCTCTAAACTACTTATCTTGCTTGGCGCAATGAATTCTCCTTTCCTCCAAGCACCAACACAAAAATTGGTCAAGGAACTGGAGCTCTCGGAGAAGTCCGAAGAGGAGAAGGCATTCCAACTGCATCTTCTTAAAGACGAAG